TCAAACATAACCATCAAATTACTCAAATTGGTATTTATGGTGTGAAAATAAATTTTGTTTGTTTGTAGTAACTCGTCACTTAATTATATCGCGCATCATGTTACTTTGGTGAGCGCTGCCCYTTAGGGGACGTCGCAAACGCATCATGAGACGCATATATATTGTCTCCATCTTGCACACTTATTATAGGTTATACACTTATACTTAAAATTTTCTTTATTAATATTTATACTCATAATTCATTGAAAAATTAAAATATCGTAAAAGGAAATACATATAATKYTCTTACCTAAAAGTTTGATATTGGTCAATTCACTCTAATATCAAAACTAACAGCACATTATTGAAATTAGTGAACGAAGATTTGCTATGTAGTACACGTGTAAGATGGAGATGTGGGTGCGACGACCTCTTAATAAAATGTATTATCTATATTTGAAGATTTTATCACTTAATATAATGATATTCTTAAGATTGCCAACAAAATATTAATTATATACCTACAAATTATAAATATTAAGTATGTTCGTTTTATACTTGTAATATTATTATAAATTATATAAAAAAATTTGCCTCGTTATAGGCCGTAATAGTGAAGAATTATATAACTGCTCTAATTTACATTATACTTACGGTATCTTGTGGCAATCTCAAAAATAAAATRTAAAGTATACTTTATACTTCATGTATATATCATATATGATAATAGTTATAAATTCAATTTTATTGCATTTTTAAAGAACTAATTAAGACATAGGTTGCTTATATTACTTATATGAAATCACATTTAACTATATTTATTTTTCGTAATTACGTATACAATTTTAAAACCACTTCAAGTTTGATAGGATATATTTTAGTCGACTATCATCGTAACATACTAATATCTAAATATTATGCATAGTGATCACTGATCAGTGATCATTGGTTTTGATTTTCATATTTAGTAATAATAAACTTAGATTAAATATTGTAAAAAATTAAAATAACGTGTGATAAATAATTTGTGCATTTCTGATTTAACTGTACATACTTACCTGATATTATTAATTTGATACTTTAACAGTAATTGTATATAGTAATGGAATAATAACTATTTAATTATTATGAAATCCGTTTTTTTTCAAAAAATATTTATTGCACATATTTTTATATCGATGTACCTATGTAAAGTGTGTACTGTATAATTTAGAATTTTTCAACATTTACTATACTTTATTGTTTATCGATCTCTCATCAAAGGAAACGATTAAAAATTCTTTTTTCAACTCTTGATTGTAACGTTTCCTGAACCACTGCTCTACCAGCCAACAATATAAGTATTATCGAATGTACCTATATACTTAAATTTATATTGGAATCGTGTAAAAAATATAGGAGTTGTTTGTTTTATTAACAGTAATAGTATATTAATAGTATTATTCGGTCCTTTATCACATAAATGTTTTCCTTGTTACAGAATGGTTGGTTCGAGGTATAATAATTTTAATGTTAAAATCTTAATAAAGAAAAAAAAAATTATAAACCTATAACGATTTCGAATTTGATTGTTTGAACATCCGAACACGTGTTTATTTAATACTAGGTTTTATTTTTAAAACGAATTTGCATAGGTCGGTTGTCGATACATATACGATATACTTACAATATGTACCAATCTATCATTTGTACCTATATCAATATAATATAGTGTAGGACTGTAGGTACATATATAATATATTATATATACATATAATATATATATATATGTATATTAAAATATAATGAAATGAACCATCGAGATGATGGTGAGCTGTGTTATAACATCATTAACCAATCATATTCATGAACATTTTATCCGGATTTAAATAGGATAACATGTTATTTATCATCTTATATATATGTATATATTATATACCTACTGTTAAACGAGTAACGACTTCGGCGTTTGGTTTAGAAGATTATGTGTCAAAAAATTTGATTTTTTCTCCTTCTCTATTAACGGTTGAATACGATAGGTTTGATCTTCGGTAGTCAGTTGGTGTATAGACTATATAAGTTACCAACCTATCTATGTATAGCTAGAGTAGTTCATCCGGCCATTGGGCTGTATAATTTGTTCTTGTACAAGCACGTATAATTTTCATTAATTCCAGGAGCAACTTAACACAACAGTCAAATAACCATTAAAATTTAATAGCCATATCAACTATATCATTACTTGATTGTTTTTTAATAGTACGAGGCTATTCAATTGAGAGCGTGCATTTTGTTATAAATAAATAAAACGATCACTCGTGTCTCCAGCAGAAATATATCTGCTGTCGAGTATTTTGATGCACCTATACAACTTATTAAAAAGTACTTTTACCGTTAAAATTTGGCTTTCAATTCGAGCTATTCAATTCTTTATCAATACGATATTATTTATCGTTAATACAAAATGCTTAAAAACCTTAATAAATTCAAAATAAATAGTTTTGTATTATATTTAATTTTACAACCGATCTCATGTGTTGGGTTCTACACACCACACACGCGATACCTTCATAAATAGCTACAATTATTAATCGTGTCTACAGACTACAGCGCGTGTACTGCTACGGGAAGGCATATAATTTTTGTTTTAACTAACCGCCGCCGATAAACATGTTACCCCTATATCATAAAAAAAAAAAAACAATTCCCATAGAAAAAAATATATATCCATTTCGGTATAGTAAACTAATTAACATCAATTGTACCTCTTTTTTGATGCCTGCGGAAAGACTCGTTTAAAAATACCAAATAACAATGTACCGGTTCAGTAAGAATGTATATTTTTTTACCCGTTCAAAAAATGTCTGTACGTTACTTTTTATCAAATTCTATTTCTATATAATATATTATTCAAGTACCCTTATTTCATAACATTGTCGAATTGGTCGAGAAAAACGTGTGAATAAAAAATAAAACCGTTTATTGATTTATAATATTACTAATTATCGAAAAAATATACAACTGTAGTAGGTTACTTATATTTAAAAATATCTTTAAAATTAATTATGTGTACACAAAATATTTCATATTATCTTTTTTGATACTAAACTAATTTTTTTGTCCATGAATTAATAGTGATGTCGTGTAGGTGTGAAATAAAACTAAAACATTCATGTTTTTATTAATTCTAATCGGAAATAATATTATGATCACATTTTTAAAAATAATATAAAATAATTATTTATAAATATATAATTATTATTTTTTTATAATCGTTTTAGAATTATAGAATTATAAATTTATTAAAGATCATGTGGTGAAGAAGTATTTGAAAACATTATATTATTTCGTTCCTTTGTTATTATAAAACTTGACTTACTGTGGGATTTATTTGGGAAAACAGGTTTTAACAACAATTTGTACAATAAAAAACGCTGTCTTACCTTGAAACTGTCAAGCCCTCAAATTATTGTAATATATATATATATTTTTTTTATACAGGTATAAGGTATACTATATATATTTTATATATAGTAGATATTACTAGGCAATCATAATACAATTTTGTTTTGCTGAAGTCCAAAATTATAGATCACACGTATTCGTTATGGTCACAATGAAAAGTGTAATTTAAATAAAATAAATTTATGACACATAATAAATTCAGTTTTTAAGCAAAAAAAATATATTTCATCTTTTATATTCTTCTTGATATTGAACCTTACAAAACAAATATTTAGTAATCCAATGGATTAATAATTGTGTTGATTCACATAGAGCGTCTTTAATGAACATTGAACTCATACTTTGGGTACATATAATATATGATGTAGGTAGGTAGATGGACAGGTTTTCATTTAGCGTGCAAATTGTTTGCAAAGAAAAGATAAATTTATGAATTACTATAGTGTCTGAATTCAAAAATTGGAAACACATTGTCACTGAAATACTGAATACTGTAAAATTACAAAAATAAAATTTTAACGTTCAGATATACGGCTATATTTCTCTAGGAATGTTAAAAAAAAACCAAAAATTATGCTGTATAAAAATCTTAATAGTTTAATTTTATAATTTCCATAACAAGTAAATTAAATAATTACTGTTAATTAGAAACACTTATTTTTAATGACTTCAAATATTCGTTACACAACATTATTTAACACAAAGAAAATTAGTTATACTAGGGTGTGGGATAATATTTGAATAGTTGATGGTACCGTGTACTGTAAAATACCACCAATAGCTATACTATTGGGTTCAGAAATATTTTCGGTTAATATACGGCTGTTGTTCGTCTAAACAGATATTCTATGTATTTTAATATCATGTCTGCGAATAAAAATATGCATTTATAAATACACGTAAAACGAAAATCCATAATTCCGAATAATTAAAACGGAAATTTATATATAATATTATATATGATGGACATAATATACACATATTTATTCTTTATTGATTTATATTGCATTATGTGTGTATATACATATATATAAGTACCTATATATCAAGGATATACGTCTGTCCGCGATCGCCAGGGCGGAGGCGGTGCCTAAACGGTTGAACAGTGGATAGTTTTTCTGGTCGTCATGCTCTGGCGCAATTGCTTGGGTCATTAAAAAAAAAGTAACACCATTGAATGAAAATACACGGTGTTTGAGAACATGATCCGGAATGCGTTAAGTTATTTTAATAAGATAACATCGATTTGAATAAATATAAATATATTTATGTATATGGTATGTACCGACGTGATATTATGGGAACAAAAACCTATAGCATGGAGCCAATTAGCGTTAGGTTATTTTTTGTTTTATAAAAAAATTTTGGCTCCCGTACGGACAACTACGCATGAGCGGATTCGCGAACGTGTACCAATGATTTATGACGTATATTCGTTATGACGGGTATTATGTATAGGTAATGCATATTATCATAAGATTGTATCATCATATTTAGGTATGCGTATTAACGTATAAAAATATCTTCATCTGACGTGTGTGTTTTAATTGTTTTTTTTTGTGTTACCCGTTTTGCAGGTGAAAGTAAAGATTTTGGACAGGAACGACAACCGCCCGATGTGGCCGAGCACTCCGATCGAGTACAAGATTTCCGAGGAGATTCCGATCGGATCGCTGGTGGCCACGCTCAAAGCCACCGACCCCGACTTGGACTCGACGCTCACGTACACGGTGATCGGCGACAACGGCGGAAGTAGCTCGCCGCTGCAGCTGGACGCGTACACCGGCAACGTCCGTGTGCGCAAGCCCATAGATAGAGAGACTAGTCCCAGACACGTGCTACCGGTACGCGTATCCGACGGGGTTCACCACAGCGACACGTCCGTAGTGTTCGTCGTAAGTACAGATACAATTTGCTATAATTTATCGTCAGCCGTGCGATCAAAACAWTTATTAATGTATTATAACGATATATATTATTAATATTATTGTACATGCAGTGTATCACTGTGTCAGTGCCGTAGTACGACCCTGTACAAGCAAAAATGCCAAGTCGGAAACAGTTCCACCGAATGTTTTTTTTTTTTAATAACGTAAAACGTTGTTCCGATATCGCGATATTATCCGTAGCTTCGAAGTATATTATAGCACTATAACACTAGGTACTATTATTATAATATAATTATGTAATCTGAGTTCCCAGATTTAATTTTTTTAAATACGAGACTCTTAAATCATACTTACACTTGTAATTTATATTGGTGTTGATTTGGGAAGGGATGAGGGGACTTATTTTTGCGATTAACAAAACTTGTGTCGAAATACTGGAACATTTCATTCAAATACGAGAACTGTGGGATCCCTAAATATATATTTGTATCAGGTATACATATAGGTAGAAGTAATATTGTGCTGTGTATAAATTATTTTATAAGTTAAAGTTTTTACACATTTCTATCGATTCGTACACGCGGAGTTRCATCAAAWGCAATAAAATATTAATTATTATATATATTCGATAAGTACTTAAAATGTATCAACGCCCTACGGTCGCGTCGAATTTTCTTGCCACGTTTAACATTTGTGCAGCTCTTGTCTTACCAAACACGTTCTTACTCTCGGCAACAGCGTAATATTGACGCTTCAGCACGGACAGCACGTGCCATATATTACTCGTTAAACAATTTTGCAGTATATATAATAATATTAAAACCTAATACTATCATACTAGGTATATAAACATCACGCGATCTCCGGCTATTCGCTTGTATTTCATTAAMTATGTATTATGTATCATACATTCATACATACCTATATTAGACATAATATATAGTATTTTTTTGTTTTACATTTGTAAGTTATAATTTATTAATTTAATTCATCCGAGTTATAGAAGTGGCGTTATACCGCTCTCTACGCAAATAATATTTTATCGTGTCAATTAATAATTATTTTAAACGGGGTATAATGAAATAAAATACATGTTGTGCGTATATCATAGACCGTGGCGCGGTGTCAAAGTTCCCATTAGACATTGAAATCAAATAGTAAAACATTATCGCAAAACGAATCAAGTTTACGTTTACGCAACAGAAAAAGTAATTTAATAGTCCCATCATACCGCTGTTTTGAACGCGTCGGATCGATAATGCCTTGCATAAAACACGAATTTCCGGGATGGCGTTGATTGGTGAGGTGATCCGAGATCCATATATAATATAATATATTATCATAAACGATAAACAAAACAAAATCGAGAKATCTTCAAATAAAATTATTCATAACATTATGTTTAGAATTTTAATATTTCTGCCCGTTTACAGATTCTTGACACCAACGATAACGCGCCGTCGTTCGCCAAGAGCGTATATTCGCTAGATGTGAGTGAGTCTCGGTCTAGGGGTACGAAAATCGGTGACATAACGGCCGTGGATGAGGACGAGGGTGTCAACGGCGTGGTCACGTATTCGGTGATCAGTGATTGGGCTAACGACGTGTTCAACATCGATCCGCATACGGGAGCCTTCTCCCTAACTGGCAAACTGGATTACGAGGAGGCGAGTATTTAAGTCAATTCTAACCAATTTTTGAATCATGTCGTCTTTTCCCTTTTGGAGAAGACTGATTCACTAATTAAGAGTTGATTGATATAATATAGTAAAAAAAAAAAATTAATACCTAACCTAACTTTATCGGGTGGGCTAAATTAAATATTTGAAGGGAGAGGTAGTGACTCTTGCTCCCTAGCCCTATTTATCAAATCATTCTCATGTCATTACTAACTATTGTGTGATATATTATGTATATACTATTTTATTGTTGTATAACGATGTCGTCTGTTTGCGTTGTTCAGGTGCAGCACTACATCATGACTGTCCAAGCCCAGGACGCGGGAAAGCCTATGTTGTCCTCGACGGTGACGGTGTACATAAACGTTATCGACGAAAATGACAACGCACCCGTGTTTGAGACAAATAGTTACAATGTGGATGTTTACGAAAACGCTACTGTCAACACGATCGTGGCGACGGTGATGGCAACAGATCGTGATTCAGGTAAACATTTAAACCACCGCCGAAGTTTACTTCGATGCATAATATTCTGTACGTGCATGTATATATACAATGTATGTATGTATTTATSTATAGGACAGTATATACTGTATACAAAGTGTTTGGCGGAAACATGTGTTTTATAATTTAWTAGTAAACATATTTTTTTCAAGCACTCTTTACCGGCATTAGCCGGATAATGAATTTGATTTATCGAGTGTGTCGACTACGTGAAAACTATGATTTACCATAACTCATAAATATATATATAGCATATACAATATACATATATATTTAATATAATAGACCTTAATTAATGAAATTAAATTAAGATCATTCTGTATGGAAATATGGATCAATCTCAGATTTTACTTTAGTTTAGATGTAAAAAATATTATCGATTGCGTGTTTAAATATGTATGATACCTATATAAATTATTATATAYTTATACATGCATTTTTGTTCTCAATTAGTTAGGTATTTATTTATTCTTGTTATTTTATTTATAAACGATAAGTATAGAACGCTTCAATGAAGTTTTTAATTTTTTCGTTTTCTTTTATTTATTTAAACTTTTCAGATTTTTTAATAACACTTAGTTTTAATAAAAAAAAAGTTAATGCATTCTGGATTTTCAGGAATCAACGGGAAAATAAAATATTCAATTCAATCTATTGATCAAGAAGACAGCGATTTTACTATTGATCCGGACAATGGCACTATTTGGCCACATCGCAATTTGGACCGYGAGACTGTAGCTTCATATAATCTCGTAGTAGTTGCCAAGGACGGGGGACGCCCGGCGGCTTCTGAACTCTCAACCACTGCGCAGGTAATAAACACCACAGAAATTCACATACATGCAATATAATATAATCTCATTGTCTTAAACAATTATTAATGAGTTTCCTTCATATATAGATGACAATTACAATCAAGGACGTTAACGACTGTTCCCCTCACTGGATTACAMCAAACGTGACTGCAGTCATGGAAAATGTAGAGATTGGTACAATAGTTACGGTTCTTAAAGCTGTAGATGACGATGAAGAGAAAAATGGATTTGTCGAGTACTGGATAAATTCTGGCGATGAAAAAACATTTACTATTGGATCCATTGATGGAGTCTTACGTGTAGCGAATTCTTTAGATCGCGAAACAAAATCATCCTACAAATTAGAAATAGGCGCTAAAGACCGCGGYGATCCTTCTCTAAACTCAATAATTCAATTGACAGTTAATATTTTGGACGAAAATGACAACAGTCCAATATTCGATCCAAGGCAATATAGTTCATCTGTACCTGAAAATGTAACCATTGGATACACAGTTATTCAATTATTCGCCACTGATAAAGACGTTGGTCCTAATGCTGGTATAAGATATACTATTACAAACGGAGATGAAAATTTGGATTTCAGCATTGCTGATGATACTGGTTTAATACGAGTTGCAAAATATCTTAACTATGAACGTAAATCTCGCTATGTACTAACTATTAAAGCTGAAGATGGGCCCGTCGGTGTTGATAACCGTGCTAATTCTGATGAAGTTACAGTTATAATTACTGTTTTGGACATAAACGATAATTATCCAGTTTTTCCAGATTCCCCTTATACTATTCATGTTCTCGAAGAGTATATCCCAGAATCTAAAGAATTTCCAGTTGCTATAGTGAAAGCGACAGATGCAGATTCTGGATATAATGGTAGAGTAAGATATTATTTAAAGGACACGGAATATTTTACTGTAGACAGTGTTAATGGAAAAATACATCTTGTGAGGAGCTTAGATAGAGAAGTTCAAGCTGAACATTTAATAACTGCAGTAGCTATGGACTCGGGTAAATAAAATAACTTCAAAATTGTATTAATTTATGTTAAATAGCATTTTGAATAGTCCAACTGTTTTTATAGGTATGCCATCATTAAGTGGMACAGGATTTATTCGTGTGATTGTTCAGGATGTTAATGATCATAGTCCAAAATTTCAGCAACAAAATTACGTAGCATACATTGATGAAAATAGTCCAGTTGGGTATTCAGTGACTCAATTGATAGCAACAGATTCTGATATTGGGTTGAACGCCAAAATAAAGTATATTTTGTTAGATTAATAAAATATTTCAATTATTATAACAAATTCTTTATTATTTTTTAGGTACAGCCTCCTGGGAAATAAACAAGATAAATTTCAAATGGACGAAGATACAGGAATACTAAGAACATTATCCAACTTGGACAGGGAAGAAAATGAAGTGTATTATTTAACAGTAGTAGCTCAAGATTCGAGTTTAACAGAACCTAAAGCATCAGTAGCTAACTTAACAGTGTTCGCAAGAGATGTAAATGATAATTATCCGATATTTTCAACGTCACAAAGTATTATTTATGTGTCAGATAAAACTCAATCAGGACAATTTATATTTGGRGTAACTGCTATAGATTTAGACTCTGGAGATAACGGAAAAATTGTTTACCATTTAATATCCGGGGATATAGATATGTTTCATATAGACGAAAATACTGGCGTTATTGAATCAATTCAAAAACTAAATAAACAAATGGAGTACAAAATAAAAATCGAAGCTAGTGATAAAGGACAGATACCTAAAAATGCAGAATTTGATTTGACTGTAATTCTTTGGCCAGATCGAGACTTTCCTGTTGTGCGACATGTAGGAACTAAACAGTTATCGATTGTTGAAAATTCTAGTCCTGGAAGTGGCGTATCACGAGTTTTAGCAACAACWCCAAAAATTGGAACAAAAAAAGGCATTTTACGTTTTTCTATAGCAGGAGGCAATTTCGACAACACGTTTGAAGTAGATTCGGTTAGTGGTGAAGTAATAATTGGTAAAAATGGAATTGATCATGAAAAATCTAGCCAATACAAAATTTGGATTGAAGCATCAGATTCAGATGAGCCTAAACTTAGAAGTGCTGTGTTATTAACTGTCAATGTTACTGATGTAAACGATAATCCACCAGTTTTTGAATATCCATTTTACACCGTTTCTATTCAAGAAGAAACATTTCCTCCAACTTCTGTAATAACTGTTGTAGCCATTGATAAAGACACAGGAAAAAATAGCATCATAACATATAGATTAGTCGATGATATTAATGGAATTTTCAGCATTGACGATGTTTCAGGAGAAATAGTAACCAACACAAAATTGGATAGAGAAACTGATGATCATTATACGTTGATGGTYGAAGCCGTTGATCAAGGTTATCCGCCTCTTACTGGATCTGCAATGGTACATATAAATGTTCTAGATATAAATGATAATCCACCACGATTTACACGTTTGTTCAGTGTTAATGTAACTGAAAATACAGAAGTTGGTTCATTTGTAATTGGTATTACAAGTTCAGATTTAGACATAGGCGTCAACGCAAAAGCAACCTACAGATTTACTGAAAATCCAGGAAATATGTTTAAAATTGATTCAGATACAGGAAAAGTTTATATAGCATCTGCTATAGATCGCGAGGTTCAAGATGAATATTTACTCAATGTTGTCGCAGCAGATGGTTCATGGCAAGCTGAAACTCCYCTAACTATAACAATTCAAGATGTTAATGATAACGCACCCGAATTTGAAAAAACTAACTATAAATTTAATTTTCCCGAAACGAACAAAATTGGAGCTACAGTTGGTCGTGTAATTGCTACCGATAGAGATAAGCAAGGATCTAACTCTGTCGTTTCTTTTAATTTGAAACAGCCTTCTGATGTTTTTTTTATAGATCCAATATATGGTGATATATTTACTAAACGTCCATTAAAATACAAACATTCAACAAAAGACATATCACCAGAAAATGAATATGCATTAACTGTTCTAGCTACTGATAATGGTAAACCTCCTTTGTCATCCGAATGCTCCATMATTATTAACGTTATTGATTCAAACAATAATGCACCACAGTTCGAAAAGAAAAAATATTTCTCACCAATCCCAATAAATTTGGATGTATGGTCACCTTTAATTACTGTTGTAGCAACCGATMACGATTCAGGCGTAAATTCCGAAATTGAATACTTCGTATATGGAGGCAATGCTACAGATTTAGTTCAAGTCGACAAATTGTCTGGTTTAATATCGCTAAAGAAAAAATTAACTGATACAGATTTAAGTAAAAGTTATGATTTAGTGATAAGAGCAACAGATCACGGAGTACCACCAAAACAAGACTTAACTGATGTCACCTTTACAATAACTAGCGAGAACAATTTTAACCCAGAATTCTCTTCATTAAGTTATCAAGTATTTGTACCAGAAAATGAACCGATAGGATCAACAATACTGACAGTTAAAGCAACAGATCAAGATGAAGGGCCAAATGGATTAGTTAGATACTCGTTTGAAAATTTATCAGATAAATTTAAATTAAATTCAGAAACTGGTGCTATAACTATAGCTAAAATTTTGGATTTTGAACGTATTAAAGAATATAAGCTTAATATTATTGCAATGGACACAGGATTTGAACCTAAAAAGTCTAAAGCTACATTATCCATTATGCTCACTGATATAAATGATAATCCACCAATTTTCAATCAAACTCTATTTAATGTATTTATTCTTGAAAACTCACCACTAGGAACATTTGTTTCACAAATGGTAGCCAAAGATTTAGACTCTCCTAAAAATGCAATAATAAATTACTCTATAACTGGTGGTACTGGAGAGCACTTATTTTATTTCAATAGTACATCTGGTGCAATTTTCTCAAAACAAGTGTTTGACTACGAAAAAGAAAAATCTTACAGTTTAGAAATCTTAGCCATTAATCCAAACTCAACACTATCTGGATCTACAAAAGTTATCGTACATATAGACGGTGTAAATGAATATTATCCGACATTTAGTCAATCTGTTTTCTATTATGATGTACCTGAATCTGCAGAAATCGGTACTAACGTCGGGGCAGTAAAAGCAACAGATTTAGATGCTGGAAATGATGGCAAAGTGTATTACTTTTTAGTTGGATCTAGCAATGACAAAGGATTTACGATTGACCRTAATACTGGATTRTTAAGAGTTTCTAGACATCTAGACAGAGAAACACAAAATCGAATTATACTAACTGTTTTGGCGAAAAATGCTGGCAGCATTAGAGGAAATGATACTGATGAAGCTCAAGTGATAATATCAATTCAAGACGGAAATGACCCTCCAGAGTTTGATCAAGAGTATTATGAATGCTTGGTTTCCGAAGGTACTAGACCAGGAGCAAAAATATTAACTGTCCACGCCGTTGATAAAGATGCCTGGCCTCAGAATAATCAATTCTCTTATTCTATACTCTACAACATGACACAATTATTTCGGGTTGATCCGCAAAATGGAACTATTGAAACCGTTGGTCACTTTGATAGGGAAACTATCAATTACTATGAAATTATAGTTGCAGCTGTAGATACAGGATCCCCGCCTCAGACTGGAAGTGCAACAGTTAAAGTTATGATTACTGATGTGAACGATAATGGTCCAGTATTAGCTCCTGACAACAGTGTGGGATATGTATCTGAAAACGAACCAATAAATACAAGTATCATGATATTAACTGCAACTGATGCAGATCAACCACCAAATGGAGCTCCGTTTACATATAGAATAGTTGGTGGACCTCATCGGGAATTTGTTACGTTGGACGAATCGAATGGACTTCTTCGAACTGCTAGATCAATTGATCGTGAACAAACACCAAACCTTAGTATTGTGGTATGTATCATAGTAATCATAAATTAGGTGGTTAGTATTATAATAGTTTTTAGATGTACTTAAATTGATTTTAAATATGGATGTATCAATTGTATCATCAATGAGGATTAATATAAACTGTTTATAATTATTATTAGGTCTAAARATTTGTAGCATTAACATATTTTTTTAATTAAACCACAAAAATAGATGATATGAATGAAATAACAGATTATTAAGATAAAGATAGTTTTAAATTTTATTTTGCATATAAATCCATTTTTCTTTTAGACCA